TGGTGAGCAAAGCACCGAAACATCCCCCGAAACTGCCCCAAATCCAGCAAAATCTGCCCAAATCCCATAAAAAACGCCATCAAAATCCATCCAAGTCCTTCCAAATCCCCCTGAAATCCACCCAAATCGCTTAAAAAACCTCTCCAAATCCATCCAAATCCTTCCAAATCCCCCTGAAATCCGCCCAAATCCCTTAAAAAAACCTCTCCAAATCCATCCAAGTCCTTCCAAATCCCCCTGAAATCCACTCAAAATCCCAGGAAATCCTTCAGAACTGAGCTGAAATCCATTGAAATGGAGCAAAAATCCTTCCAAACCCACTCCAAATCCACAGAAAATCCCCCTCCAGCCAGAGCTGTGGGAAAGCTGCCTCAGAGTGGGGTGAGGGAACCACCAAAATTCCCCTGAAATCCAACCAAACCCCCTCAAATTCTATCAAGAATCCCTCAAAACCTTCTGAAAATCCACAAAAATTGACCTCAAGTCCACGCAAGTCAACCCCAAACCCCTCAAGATCCCACAGAATTTCCCCCAAAAGCCTTCCAAAAATTCCCCAATTCCCTCCAGCTTCTCCAAAATTTCCCCCAATCGCCCCAAATTCCCAAGATTTCCTCAAAATCCCTCAAAATGGGAATTTTCTGAGATTGTCTCAAGGATCCCCACAAAAATTCCACAAAACCCTTTGAAAAATTCCCCAATTCCCCACAAAGCCCCCTCCAAAATTGCCTCAATTCCTTCCAAATTGCCTTCAAATCCCCCAAGCCCCTCGAGGTTGGGGAATTCCAATTTGGGAATTTGGGGGATTCAGGGGGAAATTTGGGGGGAAATTCAGGGGATTTGGGGGCATTCATGGCAAAAATCAGGGAATTTGAAAGGGGTTTGGGGGGAAATTTGAGGGGATTCAGGGGGAAATTCCAGGAATTTGGGGGCATTCGGGTGGAAATTCAGAGACACCCAGGGAATCTGGGGGGAAAATCAGGGAATCTGGTGGGATTCACGGGGAAATTCCAGGCATTTGGGGGGTCAGAGGGAGGATTTGGGAATTCTGAGGGGGGTTTGGGAAGGGATTTGGTGGAGATTTGGTGGGAATTCAGGGGGAAATCCAGGAAAATTCAGGGCATTTGGGGGATCAGAGGGAGGATTTGGGAAGAATTTTGGAATTCTAAGGGGGAGTTGGGAATTCCGGGGGGTTCGGGACTTTTGGGGGGGGGGGGGGGTGGGAAGAGGTTTGATGGGAATTTTGGGGGGGATTCAGGGAGAAATTCTGGGACTTTTCCGCAGTTCCCTGCAGTCAGAGCTGGAGCAGTGTCTGCGGGAGGAGGAGCAGCGGCAGAGTCGAACCAGAGCTCCAGAGGAAGAGCTCTCAAACATCTTGGTGCAAATTCCCCATTTTTCCCAATTTTTCCTGATTTTTGAGATGGGCTTTTGATGCCAAAAAAAAAGCCGAAATTGGAGAAAATCCCCGATTTTTTTCCCCATTGTTCCAACGCCCCCCTGAGGAATTTTGCATTTAAAAGGGGCAAAACTGGGAAAACCATTTTCCCCTCATTTTTCCCAAATTCCGAGGCGCCCCCTGAGGCGTTTTTGGTTGAAAACCAGCAACATCGGTGCAAATTCCCATTTCTTGCCTTTTTTCCTTGACTCTTCCCATTTTTTCGGGCATTCCATGAGGAATTTTGGGCTCAAAAAACCGGGAATTGCTTCCACCCTCAGATTTTCCCGCCTTTTCCCCCCCCCCTTTGGCGCCCCCTGGCGGATTTCGCACCACAAAGCACCAAAATGGCTCCGGATTATCCCGATTTTTTTTCTCCCCTCCCCGTAAGTTTGAGGGAAGGAAAAGAGACTATTTTTGAGGGGAAAAAATGACATTCTTGAGGGGGGAAAAAATGATGCTTTTTAGAGGAAAAAAATGACATTTTTGAGGGGGAAAAATGATGTTTTTGCAGGGGGGAAAAACAACATTTTTGAGGGGAAAAAAGGGATTTTTGGGGGGGGAGAAAATGACATTTTTGAGAGGAAAAAATGATGGTTTTTCAGGGGGAAAAGGGGGTTTTTGAGGGGAAAAAACAACATTTTTGAGGGGAAGCCTCCTGAAGGTCCTGCTTTATGGTGAACTTGCCACCGGCTGCTGCAAGAGAGGAGCCCCGAAGAGGAGATACAAGGACTCCCTGAAACAACATCTCAGCCTTGGCCATATTGATCATCATAACTGGTCTACTCTGGCCTCCAACTGGGAGGTCTGGAGACACAACATCTATAACCCTGCTGATGCTTTTGAGAGCGCACGCAGGATCATCCTTGAGGAGAAAAGACAACGCAGAAAGAACCGTGCCTTGCAGAATGTACCACCTAAGGAGTCTTTCTGCTGTGCCTTTTGCAACCGGACGTGTCTATCTCGTATTGGCCTCTTTAGCCACCAGCGTGCTTGTAACAAACGTGGGTAGAGCCCTTCCCAAATCTTCGTTGGTGAAGCCCAGCCACGAATAAGAAAGGGTTGTTATTTCTTCATTTCTTCCACACTTCCTCGATTAAAGTCTCCTTAATTTTTGAATTTAAAATTGCTGAGAGAGAAAGAGTTTGGTCTGTCTCATCCTCTTTAACAAACACTCCAGTTTCTTCAAACTGAAACAAATCCCTATAGCCTCGCTCTGGAACATGTCACAGAACAAAGGGATCTCCAAGGAAACATCCCGAAACACGGGAATGGGACCCAGGGAATTGTTGCAGCTGCTTCTCGACGAGCAGAGGGCCGCGAGCAGAGCTGAATCCTCCTGTGCTGGGCTGCAGAGAACTTCCCAGGAGAAGCTGTGTGGAGGTGGCACAGCCCAGAGCGGGAGAGCTGCAGGCACGGAGCATTCCCTGTGTTCTTTTGCTCTATATTCCAAGGTTGGAGCAGGGATCACTGCAGGGAGCAATCCTGAGGCTCCTCGAAGGATGTCGCTGCTCACCTGCGAGGGACGTGAGGAGGGACAGCTGTGGGTTGTACCTGTGTTTGGATGATGCCAAACATTTCCAAATGGGGGGACACTGGGGGACATTGGGGACATTGGGGGGACCCTGGGGGGACATTGGGGGGACATTGGGGACATTGGGGGACATTGGGAGGACATTGGGGACATTGTGGACATTGGGGGACATTGGGGACATTGGGGACATTGGGGACATTGGGAACATTGGGAGGACATTGGGGGGACATTGGGGGAAATTGGGGACATTGGGGACAGTGGGGACATTGGGAAACATTGTGGGGACATTGGGAGGACATTGGGAGGACATTGGGGACATTAGGGGGACATTGTGGGGACATTGGGGACATTGGGAACATTGGGGGGACATTGGGGGGACATTGGGGGACATTGGGGGGACATTGGGGGGATATTGGGGGGACATTCAGGGACATTGGGGGACATTGGGGGGACATTGGGGGGACATTGGGGGGCTCAGGGGTCATTTTTGGGGGTCAAAGGTCATCTGTTGCTAGGTGTTGGTGGCAATGATTGGCCACAGGATGGGGGGTGGGGCCAGCAGGTCCCTGGGGGTGGGGCCTGGAGCCCCCAAAACCTCCTGTTCAAACCTGGGGGGGGAGGGGCACCGGTGACACCACCCCAGTGACACCTGTGACCTTCCCAGTGCTCCCAGTAACACCCCAGTGACCCCCAATGACACCCCAGTGACACCAGTGACATCAGTGACCCTCTCAGTACTCTCAGTGACACCCCAGTGACCCCCCAGCACCCTCCCAGTGCTCCCAGTAACACCCAGGGCCCTCTCAATAACACCCCCAGCACCAAGCCCCTGGCCCCGCCCACATGGCCCCCAGGGAACCCAAGTCCCACCCCAACCCCTTAGACCCTGTCCCTGTTGCCATAGGAACCCCAACTCCTCCCACTGCCCCAACCCCCCCCCCATTGCCATGGACACCCTTAAACCCCGCCCACTACCCCAAGCCCCACCCACTATCTCCATTAACCTCCAAGCCCCGCCCACAATCATTAACACCCCAAAGCTCCTCCTGCCTCTAAGCCCCGCCCACCAGAGCGACCCCGCCTCTATTGCCATGGTCACCCTCAGGCTCCACCCACCACCTCCAAGCCCCGCCCCCGTTGCCATGGCCACCCTCAGGTCTCCCCCCCGCCCACCACCACCACCCACACAGGCCCCGCCCCCATTGCCATGGCCACCCCCAAGCCCCGCCCCCGTTGCCATGGCCACCCTAAGCCCCGCCCCCGTTGCCATGGCCACAAAGCCCTGCCCCTCCCCCCCCATTCCCCCCGATCCTCACAGCGCCATCTCGGCCTCCATCTCCTTCAGCCGCTCCTCGCCGCTCTTCGCCGCCGCTCCGCCTCCCCCCGCACCGGGAGCGGCTCCCGCCGCCCCCGCGGCACCGGCGCCGGGCCCCGCGGGCACGGCCGGGCCGGCCGAGGGCCCTGCGAGACCTCCCGGGGCGGCGCCGCCCGGAGCGGCCACGGGAGAAGCCGCCGTCGCCATCACGGCTGGGGAAGCGCTGAGGGAACTTCTGCCCGCCCCGCGCCCCCTCTTTCGGCGCGCCGGGATGACGTCACCCGACAGCGCCTTCCCCGCCGACGACTCGAACCCGGAAGTGGGAAAAAAAAGAAGACTTATATTTTTTAGAGGGCCAAATCGGAGCAAAACGGGCAAAAGGAGCGGTTTATTGGCGGGGTGAGCGGGGAGGGGGCGTGGCTCAGCGCTTGAGCTCGCTGTAAAGGTCCGCGCGAGCGCCCTGCAGCTCCTGGTAGGCGGAGTCCTGCTCAGGGGGGCGGGGCCTGGGCGGGGCTGAGGGAAGGACGGGGGCGGGGTCAGACTGGGACACGCCTGCCGCGGACCCCGCCCGCTGCTCCGGGACACGCCCCCCCGGACAAAAGCCCCGCCCCTACCTTTCTCTCGGACCCCGCCCCTCGCATCGGGACACGCCCATCGCACCAGGCAGTGCCCTTGCCACGCCCCCTCGCTCTTGACCCACCCACTTCCTTGCTCTGCCCCTCCCCCACCCATATGGCCCCTCCCCATCACGTCTGCCCCTTCCCTGCCCATAAAACCCCTCCCCCCGCCCCTCCCCCTTTACCCATAAACTCCCTCCCCCTCACCTCTGACCCTCCCCCACCCACTTTGGCTCCTCCCCCTCCCCCATGAGGCCCCTCCTCCTCACCTCTGCCCCTCCCCCCGGCCCAGAAGGCGGCCCCAGCCAGCGCCAGGCTCAGGGCGATGTCGGTGATGATGAGCGCGGCCACCGGCCCCGCCCCCCACCCCGAGCACTCTGGGAGGGGAGGGGAACACAGTCACCCTCGGCACCCCCATGACCTCCCAGTGACCCCCAACCCCCGGGACCCCCCCATGACCCTCCCAGTGACTTTCCGACCCCTGTGACCCACTCATGACCCCACCAGTGACCCCCTCAACCCGTGGGACACTCCAGCAACCCCCTGACCCCTGGGACCCCCCATGAACTTCCCAGTGACCTCCAACTCCTGGAACCCCCATGACCCCCACAGTGACCCCTCAACCCACCCCAGGCCACCCCATGACACCCTGTGACCTCTGTGACCCCCCCATGACCCCCCTATGACCCCCTCAGTGACCCTCCATGACCCCCCTATGACCCCCCAAAGCCCCATGACCCCTGGGACCCTCCTGAGACCCTCCAGTGACCCCCCCGACCCCTCTGGGACCCCCCAACCCCCTTGACCCCAAATGATCCCCTGTGACCCCCCATGACCCCCCAGGGACCCTCCCTAACCCCCTTGACCCCAAATGACCCCCATTGACCCTCCCTGACCCCCCTGATCCTCCATGACCCCTGTGACCCCCAATGACCCCAAATGACCCCCCAGACCCCCCCAGGGAACCCCCCAGACCCCCCATGACCCCTGTGACCCCCCATGACCTCCCAGGGACCCCCCCAACCCCCCTGACCCCAAATGACCCTCAATGACCCCAAATGACCCCCCAGATGCCGCCAACCTCCCTGACCCGAAATGACCCCAGTGACCCCCCCCGACCCCCCCCACCCCCCCGACCCCAAATGACCCCCAGTTAATCCCTGTGACCCCCCATCATCCCCCAGGGACCCCCACAGACTCCCCCCAACCCCCCTGACCCCAAATGACCCCCAGTTGACCTCCATGACCCCTGGGACCCCCCAAATGACCCCCATGACCCCCACGACCCCAAATGACTCTCAATTACCCCAAATGACTCCCATGACCCCAAATGACCCTCAATGACCCCAAATGACCCCCCAGGCCCCCCCCAGTGACCCCCCCAGGCCCCTCCAACCCCCTGACCCCTCATGACCCCTCATGACCCCTGTGACCCTCCCATGATCCCCCAGGAACCCCTGCAGACTCCCCCCAAACCCCCTGACCCCAAATGACCCCCAATTGACTCCCATGACCCCTGTGCCCCAGCAAATGACCCCCCTGACCTCCCTTACCCCAAATGACCCCCAGTTGACCTCCATGACCCCTGGGCCCTCCCCAAATGAC